TATTGAATATAAAATTTAGATAAGTAGAACTGGTAATGGTTAGATGTTCAATCGTCCTTAAATTGTTCACTAAAATGTTAAATATTGATTATTAACTATAACATTTATGTCTAAACATAATTTAATAAACATTAAAGATTACAATTCAACTGTGGACTGATAAAATTGATCTAGAAAAAGAAAATTATTCAATTGATGAAAAATAAATTCGTATCAGAATTTAATTAACGGGAATAGATTGTTTTATTTTTTCTTTCTGTAAAATCTCTAAATATGTTATGAATATTCTCAGAAGCTTATTCAATTTGATAAGTTGTTAAATGAATAAACAGACAGTCAATCTGAAAAAAAATCGAGGATATCGGTCAAAATGCTCTTAAAATAAAAAAAGAAAAAAGTTGTCTTATTTTTTTTTTTCAGCTCTAAAATAGTTTTTCATTATTTTTATATCCATCTATCACAGTGTATAATGCGGTTAGTTTTAATGGAAATATCTTGTTATGAAAGACGAGACAGAATTAATTAATCATGCATTTTTCTGGAAGAAACTTTAACACTGTAAATTTTGTTTCTCATTTGTTAAAATCGCATAATATTTTAGCTTCTAAAGGATATCGTTTTAAAATTATTTTACATAAACAGAATTACTTATTTATGCCCCTTGTGAAAAAAACTATATATTCTATATTTTGTTTCTTGACTTTTATAATAGTACGATAATATAGCATGTTTAAGGAAATCGTTTTAAGAATTTACAATGTTTTCCGAGGTGAAGACATTTCTTTACAGTGGAAAAAAAACAGGTGCCCGTCGCCGATAATTGTCATCATTTTAGATGTGTAATTAATTAGTCAGCCTCAAAAATCCGCGCAATTAAAATAGAATATACAAAAAGTATACAAGATATATACACATTGCCCAGCTCCTCGAATTAACAGGTGAACTTGGTGTCCCAATTCGATTTCCACAAATTTATTGATTTTAAATCACGTGCTTATCAACAAGACACCATGGCGTAATGGATAATGTCGTGAACTATCAAGCGGGAGGCCACGTATCGATCACGGTTTTCGGCATGATTTTTTTTTTTTTTTTCATATTCACTTTTTTTTCATTTTTTTTTTAATTCAAAAATAGATTTATTTAATACCATTATAATAAGAAAACGTGAAATAAAATTTCTAAATTAAAAAAATAAGCCGATTATTCAATAAAAAGATACAACTGAAAGATAACTGAAAGGCCACTGAAATGTATCTTCCATTCAGTCGACTGAATGGTAACTGAAAGATCACGGGAAAGTCACGGGAAAGAAACTTTTCAGTGGCCATGCAGTGGACAATCAGTTAACATTCCGTCGACTGAATGGTGTAATTTCATCCTCTGTATAACAATTATATTCCTACTATAACAGTTTAAAAGAATAATTAACTCACCTGAGCCGTAGGCTCAAGTGAGCTTTTCTGATCAAAGAGTGTCCGACGTCCGTCTGTCGTCCGTCTTTGTAAACTTTTCACATTTTCAAATTCTTCTCAAGAACCACTGGGCCAATTTCAACTTAACTTGCCACAAAGCATCCTTGGGTGAAGGGGATTTAAGTTTGTACACAGGATGTGCCGCGCCCTCTTTCACATAGATTTCAATGCAATCTTTGTTGATTAATTACTGCTTAATTAATTTCACTTTTGAAACTTTCTCTTGGTAAATCCTTTTCTACTCTACAATGCTTTAAATTAATATCAGAGAATTATGCATGTGATGGACATTTAAGGAGAGGGTGGAAAACCTTAAGGGTAAGAGCAAAATAAAAGTATAAAAGTTACAAACACCAGTGGAAAGTATCCTAGGGATTTGTTGTAGGTGTAGTAAATCTGAAGAAGATTGAGACACCTGGTTCTTATCTAACAATGGGAACTTTGGGGAGAAACATGGTGCAAGTAGTACTTTACCCAGTCCCCATCTTTATATAAGAGAAAATTTAAGTACTGTGTGATATACCCTCCGACAGAGCTGTCTTATTAATCATTCAAATCATTAACTTAGACAGAGTAAAAGAAATTTTATATATCCCTTGTAAGAATCTGATCATACACTTTACATGTGAAATATCTTAAAATCGTTTTCTCAAGAACAACTAAGCCATTATTAGTCATATTTATACAGAAGCAACCTTAGGTATTGTAGAATCAAGTTTGTTCAAATTATGACCCCCAGGGGTTGAGGGGTACATCAGAGGGTCAGAGTTTTACAGAACAATATAAAGAAATCATCTTGAAAAAAAATCTTCTGCTCAAGAACAGCAAAGCCATGATTATTCATATTGTTATAGAAGCATTCTCAGGTAGTGTTGATACAAATTTGTTCAATTTTAGGGTGGATAGGGTGGGGCCACAATGAGTGATCAGAGTTTAACATAGGAATACTAGGAGAAAAAAATCTTTGAAATTCTTTTTTTTTTTTTTTTTTTTTTTTGCTTCTGAACAGCAAAGCAATGATTAGTAATATTGATATGGGACCATGCTGAGGTAGTGTAAAATTAAGTTTGTCCCACCTCCCCTCCGTCATTGTTCAATACTGGATGATTTCTTCTTCTTCCTGCTTCTTCTTTCTGCTTCTTCCTAGCCAAAGTGCTCAGGTGAGCGATATGACCCATGGGCCTCTTGTTATATTTTTATTCCCGCACAATAATCATCACATCGATCATACAATTATAATTTGTGGTACTCCAACAATAATAATCTCGACCAGAAATTTAAGATGCAACATTACTATTTAGACGCTAGACAAAATCAAACGTTTATATGATTCTGATGCACAGCATTCACCAATTTCGAGAAAGATTATTATTTGGACGCTTAAGAAAAGGAAACGTTTGTCTGCCAAAGATAAACACGTGACGTAAAGCCATGTGCCATTATCAACAGTGCGACAGTGCCAGTGAAAGTCAGACTAAGCGTTATGCCGGTAAGTAAAGATGATTTAGTTATATTAATATACAAGTAAGTGATTTAATTTCATTCGATAAACGAAATGTCTCAGAAATCAGCTGTCAGTATACTTTTATTGAACTAAAGCTTCTGAAGAAACTAGTTCGACTTATCTCTGTACTTTTATATTGGAGATTGATATTGCATGATGATTTTATATTCCATATGTAGATAAAGTATTGATAAATTAAATGATATATCTTTACTAGCAGAAATATCTTTACTAACAGATATATCTTTACTAACAGTATATTCTTGTATTTTACAGTTCTAGCTTGAATTCTCTCTGCAGTTAGTCATTTCCATTGAGACTTACTGTCAGTTGAAAATCTGACTACTGATGACTTGACTTGATTTGCTGATTTTATGTTGTTATCTATGATTACTCCAAAACATTTTTTAAAAAAACTGTGTTATATTGCAGATTATGTATAGGTTGCGGAAAGGAGTGTTGTGGAATAGGAGAAAAGTTCCAGGTAAAAGACAGACTTTTTACATTTATCTTAAAGTGGCATGAACACAGTTAAGTTGCCGATCTGTTTACAATTTAATATTTCTATATTCATCGTAAAAATAACCGGCTTAATGACTTGAACTAACATGAAAACTGTTAATATTTAATCCAAACCCTACACTATTCTTGATATGACACCAAACACCTATGTTTGTTAACATGAGCAAGAGCTATGTTATTGTTTTAATTTTTTTTTTTTTTTACATTTTACTGGGTGTGTTCAATTAACACAACCGGTAAACTGCACAAATCACTGAACACAACACTCTTGTGTTGGTTTTGTTTTTAGCTCACCTAAGCCAAAGTCTCAATTAGTTTTTCTGATCACATTTTTTCCGTCTGTAAATTTTTCACATTTTCGATTTCTTCTCAACAACTACTGGGCCAACTTCAACCAAACTTGCCATAGAGTATCCCTGCGTAAGGAGAATCAAGTTTCTTCAAATGAAGGGTCGTTCCTTCTTCTGAGGGAAGATAATTACAAATTAGTGAAAAATTAATGGAATCTTTAAAAAAATTTTCTTCTCAAGAACAACTGGGCCAGGAAAGATGAAACTTGTGAGGAAAGATCTTAAGATGGTGTAGATTCACATTTGTTTAAATCATGACCCCAGGGGTAGGGTGGGACCACAATGGATAATCAAAGTTTTACAAAAGAATACATAGGTAAAATTAAAAAAAAATCTTCTTCTCAAAATCAGCAAAGCAATGATTGGTGATATTTATATGGAAGCATCCTTAGGTTTTGTTTTGTTTGTATGTTTTTTAACGTCCCTTTCGAGAATTTTTCACTCATATGGAGACGCCACCGCTTGCCGGTGGAGAGCTGCAAATTTTGCCCTATACTCGGCACTTACGGCCATTGAGCAGTGAGGAATCTTTTTCGTGCCAGCACTTACTGCGACACGGGACCTCGGTTTATACGGTCTCTTCCGAAGGACCGGTCTCCACGTCCAACAGTGGGATTCGAACCCGCGACGTAAGGATCAACTCTTTACTTCGCGACTCTAGAGCAGACGCTCTAACCACTGCGCCATGCGGGCGACACCATCCTTAGGTAGTATAGATTCAGAATCGTTCAAATCATGACCCCTGGGGGTAGAGTGGGTCCTCAAGAAAAGTACAAACTAATAGGGGAAAAAATCTTTAAAAACCTTCTAAAGCCATGATTAGTGAAAGAAATATGGAAGCATCCTCAGGTAGTGTACTTTCAAAGTTGATCAAATCATACCAAAGACACTGCTCAATGACTTTTTGAACAAAAAAGAAGAACAATGTTCACTTCTGTTTTTTAAGTCACTGTATTTAAGGTGTAACACTCTATGCTTCCATAATAACATTTTTATTTAATAACTCATAAGTGGTCTAGAGTGTCGGGCCCTAGTAAATTTACAACAAGCTTGGTTGATTGATGTCCTTTTTCAAAACCAAAAACAAAGATTCGATGAACAAATAACAAAAATTCATCAAGATCAGGTTACTGAAATCCAAGATTTCAGGAATAGACTGGCCACCGTCACCCAAACAAGCCAACATGCGCGGGACCTGTCCCGGCAAGCACGGGGGAGACCCCATCGTGGACCAACGGGACACAGACAACAATTCAGAAAACCGTATGAACACTAATAATGTAAAAACAATACGGCAATGCCATTATTCCTCTGAAGCAGTCCACTATCTAGTGATCAAAACGTTTTACTTGTGACAATGATGCATACAATTAAGTGATTGGAACGTTAGTTCACTGTAAAGGTACTAAGTGCTAAAAACATTTTTCACTATTGACATTTAAGTTAAAGTAATAACCAATATAACTTATATTGTCAATGTAAGACTAGAATATAATATAATACTTGCATTTTATTGTTTTTATTCTTTATTTGTATGCCTATCAAAAATTAGGAATCAATATTTATAAGCCTCAGAAAAAACGAGGCGTATCAAGAACCACGTGGTATTCCTAGCTTAACTTAAATCGCCCAAAGATAACCTGGCGTATCATATATTGTTTTCCTCTATTACAACGACCAGTCGTTTAATAGACGGATTTTTAGACTTGCACTCTCCACAAAGCTCTTAACAATTGAATTCTTCCCTATTAAAATGGCTAGACGTTTTAATAGACGGAAGAAAACCAGAAAAAATCATAGGAGATCTCAATCTTCTTTATTGCAAATGAAGAGTTTTTACAAAACATATGAGAGTCGCTCGCAGAAATATGTGCTCAATTTATCCAGGTACAAAATCAATCGTCACGAATATTCTGCATTTTCTAAAGGCTTGAAATTCATACCAACTCCTCAAAAAAGAAATATCAAAAAAGTTATTTTAAATGACTTTGACGAGTTTGCCAGAAAACTCAGATGCAAGTATCACTATGATAAGGGAGAAAACTCCCCAATGCATCCCTTCAGAAAACCATCTAGTCACAAACCTCCATTTGCTTGTAATACCTTAGAACAATACATTGACAAAACCAAATTGGAACTATCATTTATTCCAATCAGGAAAATACACAACAATACTTCTAAACTAGAAAGAGAAGCACTTAATTCTCTAAGAAACAATAGTAATATTGTTATCAAAAAAGCGGACAAAAGCAACACAATTGTTATTATGGACAAAGACCTGTATATCTCAGAGGCGCTGCGCCAATTGCAATCCAAACATTACATGCAAGTTGAAAAACCCAATTTACACAACTTGCATAAAATCATACAAAATAAAATTACTGAAATGCACTCCAAGGAACAATAGATAAGGAAACATATCGCTTTCTCTGCGATAACAAACCCTTGTTAAAAATGCGGTCATCTATACTTGCTCCCTAAAATACACAAAATCAAAGATAATGTCCGAGATGCCCTAATGAAAGGCCAATGCAGCATCAAACAGCTACCACCTGGTCGCCCAATTATTTCACAGTGTGATACGCCAACACGGAACATAGGCGCTTACTGTGATTATTTTCTCATTCCTATAGTACAAAAACAATCAACATATATTAAGGACACTACCGATTTTATCAACAAAATAGAAACCTTCAAACTTCCAGACGACGTGCTGCTGATAACATATGATGTAACTAGTATGTACACTAACATGGAATTTGACGAGCTCCTCTCCGCCGTCAATGAAGCATATCAAAGCGCTAACAAACCACAAAGAGAGATCCCTTATCCAAATGCTGAAGATCTAATCTTCCTTCTAAAGTGTGTCTTAGAAAACAATTACTTTGAATTCAATGGAAAATAATACAAACAAATTATAGGCTGTAGCATGGGTGCGATACCATCCCCTGAAATTTCAGATACAAGAATGTATCAAATCACAAATCATATTATGTCAAAATTCAAATTCGCCAACCAAGTTCTCTATCACGGTAGATATAGAGATGACGGTTTTATAGCCTTTAACGGCACAAAAAAGGAAATTCTAGAATTTCTTCGATATCGGCAATACCTGCCACGATCACTTAAAATTCACTTTTGAAATCTCAGATGAAAGTATTAACTTTCTTGACACCACAATATACAAAGGCCTGAGATTCCAAGAGAATAAAGTGCTTGATATCCAATCATATGTAGAACCAACAAACAATTTTCAGTATTTACACGGAGAAAGCGCCCACAGTCTTTCAGTATTTAAAGGATTTATAAAAGGTGAATGCATCAGACATGCAAGAAATACAAGTGATACATCTATCCTAACAACGATTCTAGCAAACATTAAGACACACTTGTCCAAGAGAGGTTACTCTGATAAGGAAGTTGATCCTATTCTCACTGAAATGGGCAAAACAAACAGAAAAAAGTACTTGCATAAAAAAATCTTGAAAGAAAAAAAGTGTCAACCAAATATTATAATTACCAAATACAATCCATATTTTAAGGGTATTTTAAGGGCATTCTCAAACACTGGAACATCTTGCAAACAGACACAATTTGCAAAGAGATATTTATCGATGAACCAATAATCGCCTACAGTAAACACAAAAACATAGGCGGAATGATAATCAAGTCACGCTTACAATAGCTTACGACACATAAAAAAGGTGGGCTCCTGACGATGGCGGACCTTAAGAGCAAAAATATCATTTCTCTTTAAATACCGCCGAAACACTCTATGCTTCCATAATAACATTTTTATTAAATAACTCATAAGTGGTCTAGAGTGTCGGGCCCTAGTAAATTTACAACAAGCTTGGTTGATTGATGTCCTTTTTCGAAACAAAATTTAAAAAAATTCTTCTTCTCAAAATCAGCAAAGCAATGATTGGTGATATTTATATGGAAGCATCCTTAGGTTTTGTTTTGTTTGTATGTTTTTTAACGTCCCTTTCGAGAATTTTTCACTCATATGGAGACGCCACCGCTTGTCGGTGGAGAGCTGCAAATTTCGCCCAATACTCGGCACTTACGGCCATTGAGCAGTGAGGGATCTTTTTCGTGCCAGCACTTACTGCGACACGGGACCTCGGTTTATACGGTCTCTTCCGAAGGACCGGTCTCCACGTCCAACAGTGGGATTCGAACCCGCGACGTAAGGATCAACTCTTTACTTCGCGACTCTAGAGCAGACGCTCTAACCACTGCGCCATGCGGGCGACACCATCCTTAGGTAGTATAGATTCAGATTTGTTCAAATCATGACCCCTGGGGGTAGAGTGGGTCCTCACGGAAAGTACAAACTAATAGGGGAAAAAATCTTTAAAAACCTTCTAAAGCCATGATTAGTGAAAGAAATATGGAAGCATCCTCAGATAGTGTACTTTCAAAGCTGATCAAATCATACCAAAGACACTGCTCAATGACTTTTTGAACAAAAAAGAAGAACAATGTTCACTTCTGTTTTTTTAGTCACTTGTATTTAAGGTGTAACATCCCTCTGATAAGAGAGAAAACTGTTCAAGGAAATTATTCCAAGCAATCCTATGAAATGTCTTGCCAAGTTTAATAATGAAGACCCTTTTATAGTCAACTCAATTAAGTCTGATCAATCGTACAAATATTGATTTCTATTTTCTATTGCCAATATTTTTATTAATTACATAAAATAGTTTACCTAAACTATTATACCCAGTTCCTTTAAGCAAAGAAAATTAAGATATTTCTACTTCTTTACATATAATTCTTTTAATTGTTACAGAAAATTAGATGCAGAATTCTTATAATCAATTGATTAATATTTTTTTTCATTAAAACATATTTTGAAGAACGATAATGGAAAGATAACTCTTGTAGATGGATGCATTTAATTTTACAAGCACAGGAAACAATGTGATATTCTGATTTAAAAAGCAACGCTTCTTTATGTTTTCTAATGCGAGTTAGATAGGTATGTTAGTAAATATTATTCTTATATATATGTTATATCTTTAATTTTATTGTGAGATAGAAAATTATTGATCTTTCTATTCACCACATCAAATTTTCTTCATATCATGATTAGACATGATATTCATTTCTGAAAAAGTAATCAACGCTTCATACTTTAAACTATTTTTTATTTGAATCTAATACTCTTGTTGCTGAAAATCAATGTTGGGAATTTAAAACAAGAGGCCAAAGGGCCTTAACGGTCACCTGTATAATACAACAATTTAGAAGTTAAATACACTGATAGATGAAGCTTTGTTGCCCTAAAGCAAGAGAAGTAGGAAGATCAGGATCAACAAAATAATTAGTCTAGTATTCAGTATCAACTCATAAATTAAGTTCTAATCTGTCCCCCACTTAACACAATCACCATGCAGACTATTAACAAACTATTAGTGCTTCAGTACTATTTTTAAACCCATATTAAGAGCTCTAGCATTGACCTCTCTTATGGTCTTTGAAGAACTTTTAATAAGATAAGTTATTTTTGTCTCATTTTTAATTATCTATTACTTACAGGTCAACCTGATTATTAAAACTAAGAAAATACTTTTTGAATTATATGATAAACATTCTTGCATAATTATCTTATTCTATTAACCTTTCAAATACATTATTTACAGTGATTAATTATCAAAGGTGAATGGAAAAGGGGAATAACTTCTCTCAGTAGAATACAAATTAATAGAGCCCTGCCCAGGACTAGAATGCTTAGACAAATGGTCCAGATGTTCAAAAATCTGGTAGAAATACGCTTACTTATATCATTTAAACTTTTACTCAGTTTTCTTCCAATATGCCCAGAAGCAGAGAAGAATTTCACAGGTACAATGCATTTTCACTACAGATTCAACAAAGCCTTACCCTAAAACCAGAACCCAAGACAAAGGGTCAAGAAATTTACAAATTTGGAAGAGTTACCCTCATCATCATACCTATGGACTTTAAAGAATTAACACTTTTCCACTATATTATCAAAAGCCCCCCCCCCCCCCCTTAGTTATGCCAGAACCCCTGACCCTAGGACCACAAGATTTAAAAATTCTGTTCAAAGCTCACATTTTCATCATAGCTAAGCAATTTATTTATCAGCTCAACGCTAAGGAGCAGACAGGATTGATTTATGATTAATTAATAGAATTAATGATTTTTCACTATATAATCAATAGAGCCCCCCCCCCCTCCTTCCTCAAGAACCCCAAAAACTGAGGCCATATATTTGAAAATTTTGGAAGAGGCATCCTTGCCTATCATAATCATGCACTTACATGTAGTTTGTTTAAATAATCTTCAGTAGCAGAGAAGAAGATTTTCAAAGAATCAATGCATTTTCACTATATAATCAATAGAGCCCCGTCCTAACACCAGAACCCCTGACCCTGGGGCCATGAAATTCACAATTTCTGAAAAGGCATCTTTATGCAGCATAACCATGCACTTAGTTTGTTTAAATAATCTCCAGTAGCAGAGAAGACGATTTTCAAAGAATCAATGCATTTTCACTATATAATCAATAGAGCCCCGCCCTAACACCAGAACCCCTGACCCTGGGGCCATGAATTTCACAATTTTGGAAAGGCACTCTTGCTATTCATAACTATGTACTTAGTTACTTTATTTAATACCCAGGAGCAGAGAAGAAGATTTTCAAAGAAATAATGCACTTTCACTATATGATCTATATAGCCCCACCCTGGGGCCAGAACCCCTGACCCAGGGGCCATGAATTTCACAATTTTGGAAGAGGCACTCTTGCTCATCATAACTATGTACTTAGTTACTTAATTTAATACCCAGGAGCACAGAAGAAGATTTTCAAAGAATTAATGCATTTTCACTATATAATCAATAGAGCCCCGCCCTAACACCAGAACCTCTGACCCTGGGGCCATGAATTTCACAATTTTGGAAGAGGCACTCTTGCTATTCATAACTATGTACTTAGTTACTTTATTTAATACCCAGGAGCAGAGAAGAAGATTTTCAAAGAAATAATGCACTTTCACTATATGATCTATATAGCCCCACCCTGGGGCCAGAACCCCTGACCCAGGGGCCATGAATTTCACAATTTTGGAAGAGACACTCTTGCTCATCATAACTATGTACTTAGTTACTTTATTTAATACCCAGAAACACAGAAGAAGATTTTCAAAGAATTAATACATTTTCACTATATAATCAAGAGATCCCCGCCCTAACACCAGAACCCCTGACCCTGGGGCCTTGAATTTCACAATTTTGGAAGAGGCACTCTTGCTATTCATAACTATGTACTTAGTTACTTTATTTAATACCCAGGAGCAGAGAAGAAGATTTTCAAAGAAATAATGCACTTTCACTATATGATCTATATAGCCCCACCCTGGGGCCAGAACCCCTGATCCAGGGGCCATGAATTTCACAATTTCGGAAGAGGCTTTCTTGCTCATCATAACTATGTACTTAGTTACTTTATTTAATACCCAGGAGCACAGAAGAAGATTTTCAAAGAATTAATGCATTTTCACTATATAATCAATAGATCCCCGCCCTAACACCAGAACCCCTGACCCTGGGGCCATGAATTTCACAATTTTGGAAGAGGCACTCTTGCTATTCATAACTATGTACTTAGTTACCTTATTTAATACCCAGGAGCAGAGAAGAAGATTTTCAAAGAAATAATGCTCTTTCACTATATGATCTATATAGCCCCACCCTGGGGCCAGAACCCCTGACCCTGGGGCCATGAATTTCACAATTTTGGTAGAGGGCTCACTGCTTATTACAATGATTCCAACAGTTTGACTGCTTGATGTCCTGGAGTAAAGAAGAAGATTTTTAAAGATTGCATTATTTTTGGTGGTTTTAACCCCACTTCTCAGGCCCCAGGGG